TATTTGTGAGATCTGCAAGGTGCTGGAGGCACTCTTTTCATCAGCCCAAGATGGGGATCTGACGCAGGTCCCAGGGGTGCAGCAGTGCCACTGTCATGTCTTTTCTCTTTCTTTCCCCTTTTGGGGCAGCCTCTGAGGATCCCGAGCCCCAGGATCGATACCATGGGATTTATTTTGCCATGCTGCTGGCTGGGGTGGGATTCCTCCTGCCCTACAACAGCTTTATCACCGATGTGGATTACCTGCACCATAAATACCCAGGTAGGTCTCCAGCAGCTGTAGGATTTCCCTGCCACCCCAAACTGGGAGAGAGCTCGGCTGCACTTCCAGGGGAGCTGGATCCCTGCCCTCCTCCATCACCTGCCTCTCTGCAGGGACCTCCATCGTCTTTGACATGAGCCTCACCTACATCCTGGTGGCCCTGGTGGCCGTGATCCTCAACAACGCGCTGGTGGAGCTGCTGAGCCTGCACACCCGGATCTCTGTGGGTGAGTGGGGGTCCCTGCACCCCTGGTAGTGCTGTCCCCATGCTGCTCCCCTGCCACAGCCTCTGTGTCCCACCCACAGGCTATCTCTTTGCCCTGGGACCCCTGCTGTTTGTCAGCATCTGTGATGTCTGGCTGGAGCTCTTCAGCCGCAGGCAGGCCTACGCCATCAACCTGGTGGCTGTCGGGGTGGTGGCCTTTGGCTGCACAGGTATGTGGGAGAGCAGCTGGTGCTGGGACATGCACAGGTAGGGGTGGGAAACAGCCTCATTCCAGAGCCATGGTCTCCTGGGACTACCTCTCGCCCTGATCCCTATAACTTGTATCCCTGCTCCACCCCCTCCACCTCTGTCCAGGCACCACAGGGCTGACCAGGGGCACCAAACTGTGCATTGGTCACCAGCACCCCCGATTTGGGCCACCATAGTGGCTTCCCAAGCCCCCACACCCGGTCGCTAATCATGGTGGGAACAGACATGGTGGGGCATGTGGGGAGGGGAAAAAAGCCTTCAGCTTTTCGGGCAGGGAGAATTTGGGAACGCTGCAGCTCCCAGTTAGCTCAGCATGTGGGCTCCCACTGAGGTTTCTTCCCCCTTCCCAATGTTTCGGCTGCAGCAAAAATCCCTCCTTCTCCCCTCTTTGTATCTCTCCTGAAGTGCAGCAATCCAGCTTCTACGGCTACACGGGGCTGCTGCCCAAGCGCTACACGCAGGGAGTGATGACAGGCGAGAGTAAGTATCTGTGTCCCCTGCCAGTGTCCACGTCCCACCACATGGGCTTGCTCAGGGGGGCCCTCCTGTGCCTTCTCCTGGGTCCCCACTGTCCCCAGCTGGGTTTCCAGCATAGCAGAGACACTCCAGGGTGTTTAATGGTTTCTAAATCCCTGCCACACCAAGCTGGGGGTGGGGATGTCTGCCAGGAGCTGCCTTCATCACCCCAAAATCCCTGCTGGTTAGCTCCTCCATATCAGGAGGCATCACATCCAGGCACTGGGGGGACGACAGGGATCCCTGATGTGTGGGGCTCAGCAGGATGCAGTGCTGACAGGTCTCCCACACCCCCAGGCACCGCCGGGGTCATCATCTCGCTCAGCCGCATCTTCACCAAGCTGCTGCTGTCGGACGAGAAGGAGAACACCGTCATCTTCTTCTTCATCTCCATCGGCATGGAGCTGACCTGCTTCATCCTCCACCTCCTGGTGAAGCGCACCCGCTTCGTCCGCTACTACACGGAAGGGTCCCGCAAGGGCCTCCCCGAGACGCGGGGGGCCGGCGACCCCGGGACGGGCTACCGCGTCCACCACGACGTCACCTCCGAGGACGTCCGATTTGTAAGCCGAGGGTGGGTCTCCCCGCTGGCCCCTGGGGTCCTGCTCACCACTGCAGCTCAGCACTGCTGTCCCCTGTCCCCCCAACCAGGAGAACCGGCAGCGGGGGCAGCCCAGCTCCCCCCGGGACAGCCCGGGCCCCGAAGCTGAGCTGGCTGGCAGCGGCACCTACATGCGCTTTGACGTCCCTCGGCCCAAAATCAAGAGGAGCTGGCCCAGCTTCCGAGGTGGGTGGTGGGCTCGGGGGGTGAGCCATGCCCATGGGGTGGGTCTGCAGCATTTTGTGGGGTGGAATTGGTGATTGGTGATGCAGAGTTATGGGGAAGGATCATCCCCAAAGCTGGAGAGGGACTTTTGACAAGGGCATGGGGGAATGGCTTCAAACTGTCAAGAGTGCAGGGTAAGGTTGGATGCTGGGAAGAAATTCTTCCCTGTGAGGGTGGTGAGGCCCTGGCATAGGTTGCCCAGAGAAACTGTGGCTGCCCCATCCCTGGAAGGGTTCAAGGCCAGGTTGGATGGGGCTTGGAGCAACCTGGGATAGTGGAAGGTGTCCCTGTCCGTGGCAGGGAGTGGAGCAGGATGGTCTTTAAGGTCCCTTCCAACCCAAACCATTCTAGGATTCTATGATACCTTTCCTAATGACGTGCTCAAAACTGTGGGGCAAACTCATCTGTGGAAGCCACCCCTGGGGGTCAGACGAGGCTTTCAGGCTCTGCAAGCAGAGGGCTGCAGTTTTGGCTGAGCTGTGCTGCCTGTCCCTGCCAGACATGCTGCTCTACCGCTACGTCGTGTCCCGGCTCATCTGGGCCTACATGCTCTCCATCGCCATGACCTACTTCATCACGCTGTGCCTCTTTCCCGGGCTGGAGTCGGAGATCCACAACTGCACTCTGGGGGAATGGCTCCCCATCCTCATCATGGCCATCTTCAACCTCTCTGATTTCGTCGGCAAGGTAGGAGAGAGGCCAGCACCAGCACAGGGAGGCTCTGTCCTCCTCCTGTGTCCTCTTTCTAAGCCACTTGGCTCCAACAAGGGTTATCTCCACCCCATGGTATCTGACCATGAGGTTCCTGCAGCAGTTGGTCTTGCCACCATCTTGTCTCCTTGTTGCCTCATTTTGGGCACCTTCTTGCCCTCCCCAGCCCCCCTACCCCCCCCCACACAGTCTCTCCCCCTCACTGTAGATCCTGGCTGCCCTGCCCTACGACTGGAGAGGGACCCACCTCCTCGTCTACTCCTGCCTTCGCGTGGTCTTCATCCCCCTCTTCATCATGTGCGTCTACCCCAATGGGCAGCCCACCTTCGGCCACCCTGCCTGGCCCTGCATCTTCTCCCTCCTCATGGGCATCACCAACGGCTACTTCGGCAGTGTCCCCATGATCCTGGCCGCAGGAAAAGTGAGCCCGGAGCAGCGGGAGCTGGCAGGTAGGACCTAGTCCTCACTGGGATCCCAGGTGGGGTGGCCAGAACACCCTGACACCTCGTGTCCCTTCCCACAGGGAACACCATGACTGTGTCCTACATGACGGGCTTGACGCTGGGCTCGGCCGTGGCGTACTTTGCCTACAGCCTCACCAGTACCTCCCACAGCACCTGTTTCTACACCGAAACCTCCAACGGCTCCTTCACCTTGGGGTACTGAGCCCTGGGGCGGGGGGGACAAGATGGGACCTGTTTCCCACCATTGTCCCCACCGCCCCACTTGGCCCATGTCCCTCCTCTGGGACAGGGTGGACAGGGACTGGCATCCTGTGGGCACAGGGCCGTGGCATTCCAGAAAGGCCCGTGCTGCCCAGACAGGCGCTGCACAGGGCCACTTCTCGGGGTGACATTCCTCCCACCCCAGAGGACAGTCCTGTTGTTTTTGGGGGGGATCCCCATCAGAGATGTGCAGCTCCCCAGTGGACCCTGGGGATCTTCCGTTTGAGCCAAGCCATCGCCAGGAGGAAGAAAATACTGCCAAATCCCAAAGGGAATAGGACCAGTGCTGGAGAGGAAGGTGATGAAGGGCTGGTGAGGAAGAAAAGGAGCAAGAGAGGAAGGAAACATTCCTTCAGTCCCCAGTGGCTCCAGGAAGGTTGGTCTCGACTTTTCATTGATGGTGCTGCAGGTTTTCACCAAGAATGGTTTGAAATCCCAATCCATCTCTAAACATGCCAATTGCTGTGTAAAAGAGCCAATTCAGTTCTGCTGGTTGAGAAAAAAATGATTTTTTTTTTTTTCTTGATTGTGTCTTGTTTTGCACCCCCCATAACTGCAGGAGAGGCAGGGTCTTGCCTCTCCCCCACCCCACACTGTGAATCTGCCCCATTACAATGGGGCGGGGGGGTCCCCAAGGCTACAGCACTGCCAGTGCCACCCACGGGCCATTGCTGAGCTTTGAGATTTATTGCAAGGGACATAAGTGAAGCTGATTAAATGATTAAATGCCTTTGCAATGATGGCTGGTCCTTACTTGTGTGCCACCGGCACTTGGCTGCTGGTGACGGGCTGGGCTGGCAAACACACACAAGGTGATGCTGCTGCCTGTCCCGTGGGGTCTTGGGGTGTCTCTTGTGTTGCTCCCCAGCTCCAGGGTCCCCTTTGTCACCTGGGGCGGTTGGACTTGTCACCAGGTCCCATTGGACCCCTCCCAGCCTGCAAACTGCTGCGGGCAGCATGTGGGAGAGGGAATGGGCCAAGAGGAGCAGAAAGGATCTGGAGAAGGTGCCAACACCACTTTTTGGGACTGGCTGCACCTCGCTGTGCCAGGAGCTGGCGGGTGCCCCCTTCCAGGGAAGCAAGCCCAAGGAGGTGGCAAGTGCCAGGCTTGGCACCCTGACTCAGCCCCCCCAGCACCGGAGGGTCTTGCCATGCCAAGCTCCTCACTGGCTGAGGTGCAGCTCACACCACAAAGAGCAAATCCAGCATTTCATCCTCAACACGTGGTGGGTGCCATGAGTGTGGTGGCCCAGGAAGGACTCACACCTCCTGCCCACAGGCCCCATCCAGCAGAGACCTCTGCTCAGGGGTCCCATCCTGTCACCACATCACATGGACGGGTTCTCCCCAGAAAAGCCACACTGGCACTTGGGTTGGGTCTTTTCCCAATTCAGGGGCTGAGCCAAAAAGTAATCGTTGCCACCAAGGGGAGAAAAAACCCACGGTCAGGACAAGCGAGACAAAGAAAGATGCTTCGCTGGGTTGCTTTTTTTCAATTAATTTTTTTTTTTTTTATGAAAAAAGATCACACGGAGTTCTCCAACAAACAGAATGCCAAAAAAATTGTTTTAAACAAAACATAAACAAAACAAAACAAAAAAGACAAAAACCTGGCTCTCCTTTCCTCTCGATTGTCTGAAATATCCTTGTGTTCCATAGAAGGCAGTGGGTTTTAAGTGCTTTCTATTTAACATTAGCATAAAATCTCTCTCGCGCGCTCTCTCTCGCTCTTTAAAATATGCTCACACAATTTGCTTCTAGAAGTACAGTACACTTTGAGCGTGGGGGGGTGTGCCTGTTCCCAGATCATTTACAATCACAATCCAACAGGAAATAAAAAATAATATTCTAAACGTCAGACTGTGTTCATTTCTGCCGTTGTGGGTTTTTTTCTTTTTTTTCCTTTTTTATAATTTCATAATTTTTTTCACAGTTTTAAAAAGTTTATATTTATATATATATATTTATATTTATATTTATAATTAAAAAGTTGAATCCATTTAAAGACTTATAATACAGGAGGGCTAAAGAGTCTTTTGGTACATTAAAACTGTACAGGCTAGAACCGTTCACTGTCCGCCGTGCCGAGGCGCCGGTGGCCCGGGGTGGAGATGGTACAAGCTCAGCACCATGTGGTTTGTTTAAAGGACGAGGGGTAACTCTGCAGGGGTGTCCCTCTCCCCTGAGCCCTGGCCTCCAGTCTCTGGTACACAGCTGGTACCAGGGCGGAGAGTTTCCAGTCTGTCCTTGGTTTAAGCGTCTCCCCACCGGAGCCTGGGCCGAGCCGGGCCCCGCTCCGCGTCCCAGCGATCTGTAGTGCGAGTCGGTAGTTGCAAAGATCAGTGCGTCTCTTGGAGTTTTGTTTTAAGTGCAAGGATGGTGCATCGTTCTCCTCCGGTTCTCCTCCAGTGTCCCCTCTGGGCAGGTGTAAAACCCTGGAGCAGCGGTGGTGGTGCCACAGGTCCGGCATGTGCCCAGTGGGAGCGAGACAGTGGGTGAGCATCCCCGTGGGGAGTCAGGCCCGCTGGATGGAGCAAGCTGGGCGGTCCCCTCCCTGAGCCCAAGGTGGCAGCAGGGCTCTGGCTGTGGGAATGCTGCAGGCAGGCACAGCCGGGTTCATACATCATCCCCATTCCCTTCAAAGGATGGGTAAAGGCTTCCCAGCAGCTCCACATCTCTGATCAGGCAAGGCATGGAGGCTAAAGGTGGGTGAGGGATGCCGGAATCCAATGGCCTGTGGTCTCCTCTCCTCCAAGCACCGAGCAGCAGCAGTTTTTCCCAGTCATTTCCCGCCCCTTCACTGCACACTCCAAGTTCTTTGTTTGCCAAGTGTCACCCCCCTCACCACAAGCTTGCTCCCCCCAGCACCTTTCCAGGGCAGGAGGAACAGAGAGCGATGAAAAGAGAGTTCAGACTGTTTGTTTGAGGCAGTGGGAAGGTAGCATCCCAGACTGGGTGTTGGCTCCTCTTCCACCTGGCTCCTCCTATCCCGGTGATCTCTTCTGCTGGGACCAGCCCCACCCCACTGTGTTCCATGCTGCCAGAGGGGCCTCCAGGGAAAGGGAACTGCAAAAAGGCGCTGAGAGGATCGAGACGAGGCGCTGAGAGAGACTCATCTCCTTTCTCTTTCACCCTGTCCTTCCTAAAGGGTCATGCGAAACTAAGCAGGAAAGGGAATATAAGGACGGAGAGGAGCGCACGTGGAAGGTGAGTGGGTGTCCTTCCACGCACGGGTGGCTTCCGAGCTACTGACGGGGGCAAATGACACAAAAGGGATCCCTCCTGCCGGGGGGTCCCGCTGGTGAAATGATCACGAGACCCATGTGCTTTCCTGGACCAAAAGGAGGAAGGGAGAAGTTGGTCAAGTGTCACCTTACTTAAAGCCACTTCCAGAAGAGCCTTGGGCGTTCAAGCACCACCACCACACCCAAGGGCATCTTCCCCGAGTCCTGTAACTGCTTCCCCAACCCCTTTCTTCAGCCCTCTCCTTCCTCCTCGCGTCTCTCGCGCTCTCCTGTCTGTAGTGTGACACAGAAATGAGCATTGAAAGAAACAATCATGTCGTCTGAACAGGCACGTCCTCAGGTTTGTCCCGTCCCTCCCAGGGGGTGGCACGTGTCCCCTGGGCAGTCAGCAGATGACAGGGACCCCGTCGGTGTTGAAGATCATGCCCGTGGTGGGCTCGTAGGTCCCTGCAAGGTAGTAGAGGTCCTCACTGTCCTGGTATTTCTTCGTCTTTAGCATCTGCTCGTACTGATCCAGACCAACAACAAGACACTTGTGTGAGATGGTCTGGACATCGTTCTCATCCACGTGAGAGGACTGGTAGAGGGCTCGCTGCACAGCAGGAACAGAAGGAAGCAGGTGGGAAGAAAAGGAGAAATTAGATCTCACAGCAGTAACAGCATCGTCTTCAACATGTAGGAAAACCACCCATCACAACAGGACAGGGCTCTGTTCACACTCAAGAACTTCCCACTCATTCCAACAGCCAGCCCAGGGGAGGGACAATGAGAATCTGCACCAGCCTATGGGCAGCCTGGACACAGTCCATCCAGCCCGCTGAGCCTGAGCCCTGGCTTTCACTCAGCTCCCACCAAGGGGAATGCTGCGGCTGCCAAACACACGTACAGGGGAACGTGAAGGCCCGGAGTCTGTCATTCTCACTTCAAGGATACAAATGCAAAGATGGGTGCTGGATACCAATCCACTGTTCCTACCCACACCCAGGACCTGCAGCTACTCCCACCCTCCCAGAAAACATCATCCCAAGTCCTGGACACTGCAGACTCAGCTGAGGCAAAGAGCAAGAGTCAGAGAAGCTTGGGGGCATTTCCCCAGCACCATTTGTTACAGGGTGCCTGGCATTCCCTCCCAGCCTTTCCCCAGCCAGACCAACCTCCATAAAGTCCTTCCTCTGGTTGGATGCCTGCAAAGCTGTGGACAGACTCCTGCCTGATTTCTGATCCCAGCGCTGTGCCCAAGAAGGAAAGAGGAAACAGAAATGAAAAGCAGGTGAATTAGTTGTTTTTCTACGTCAGCACGTCCTGCCCATCTCATGTGCCTTTGGAACTTCAACTCCCGCCCACAGCCACTGGGAATAAAACCTAAGAGCCTGTTATAAACAAAGCACATGTGTGCAAAATTCAGTGTTTCTGAGCACCAGGCCAGTCACTGTAAAGACTTGATCTGGCTCTTGACATTCTTTTTGGACCAACACAGAAGTCTTTATTTCCTATTAGGATAAAACCCACCGCTCCCCTGTTCAAGGGGCAAACACCAAGCTCGTCCACACCACAGGCAGCCCCCACAACATGAAAGGATGAGGCCACCCCCATCAGGGTACCAGTAAGAAACTGGGCCAGGCGTGTTTTCCTCATCCGTGGAAAGAAACAAAAGGGAGCAAGGAGCTTTGCAGCCCTCTCAGCAAAGGAGACCGGCCTACCTTGCCTTCGTTGAGTTTCTTCCCAGGGTTGGTTTCTTCTGGGTGATAGAACCATTTGACCCGGACCACCATGTTGTTCCCCCAGGACTCCCACATGCTCTGGATCCGGCCAATGTAGGGCAGGTTGGGGCGGCCGGCGGAGAGGAAAACCGCACAGTCTCCGATGCGGATTATCTCCTTGCCCCGGACGATGGCCTTGTAGAACAGCTTCCTGGCCTTCCCTTTCATTCCACGTCTCTGCCAAGAGAGGATTGCGCAGGTGAGCAGCCAGGGACCACCCAGGTTTTCCCCAACCACAACTGCTTGCCCTGTCCCACGTGCATCCCTTTGCTGTTGGCAGGGCCACAGTATTCCCACAGGAAGTGCGGCAGAGGGACACGCCATGCAGGATGGCTCCCCCAGACACAGCTAAGGCCAACCCCAGTCTCCCGAAAACTGGAGACCTTGGCTGAGGACACACCACGACAGCAGTTTCACCACCCCAGGAGAAGGGGAAGGGGTAAGAGGCACCAGAAGGCAAACACCAGAGCCGAGCGTCACAGAACAGCGGGAGAGACTCCGTTTACCTGCGTGGGTTTCCCGAACCACTTCCACAGCTGCCGTGCAGGGAGGAAAGCAGCGATCTTGGGCCTGTTCTCCACGGACGGCAGGCGCTGGCGCTTGGCCAGCTCCTTGGTGGTGGGCAGGTGGATGCCCTCACGCTTCTTGGGCCTGCTCTTGTTGCCGCTCTGCGGCGGCGCCGGCTGCGGCACCGGCTGCTGCGCCGGCTGCTTCTGGCTCTGCGGGTGGGAGGACGCGCGGGATTTCCCCGCCTGCTTGGTTTGCTTGGGCGGGAGGGTTTGTTGCACCGAGGAACTCGGCTGGGCCTCGGCTACTTCGTCGTCAGAGCTGCAGGAGGAATCTTCGTCCGTAGTGGAGGAGGAGGAAGAGCTGGAACTCGATGAAGAAGAGGTCGATGAGGTGGAGGAAGAGGAGGAAGAGGAAGATGAAGAGGAGCTGCTGCTAGAAGAGGAAGAGGAGGAGGAATTGGAGGAAGACAGAGGGGTAGATGCTCTTGAGCTGGCTGAACTGCTGTCCTGGGCTTCCCCTCGGTTCTTGTCAGCCTCCTCTTCTCCCTCTGACTCTGAGCTGCTGTCGCTGCTGTTGCTCTCAGACTCTTCCACTGCTGCTGGAGCTGCTGCCTTTTCTTCCTGGTCCTTGGAGGCAGTGAGGCTCTCCACTGAGCCATCAAACTTTCCTCCAAAGCTGGCAGGAGAAGGGTCTCCCTCAGCCACTTTGGCTCGGGAAGATTTCTGCTTGCCCTCCACACTCACTGCAGTGGAATAGCCCAGCCCCAGGAGACCCTTCCCATCTCTGCGGCTGGCCAGGTTTGAGTCCTCCAGCATCCTCATCGCCTCCTTCATCTTCTTTGTCTTTGGAGACATCACGCCCTCATGGTCCAGCTTGATCAGGATTTCGCTGTCATGCTTCCTCTGAGCCTTGACCACGGTGCCAAACTCCTGTGTCTCTTCTGTGGGTCGCCCTTTCTTGGCCTTGGCTTTTGACCCTGAAGCCTCACTGGAGCCGTAGGCTGCCAGTGTTCCCGGGAGGTCACTGTAGGGTTCTGTGCCAAGGATGCTGCCGAACACAGCAGGCTGGTAAGTGGGCTGGGGGGGGGCTGTGCAGCTTAGTGGAGATCTTCATTTTGCTGGCTTTTGACCGCTTTTCCTCCGTGGGAGCAGGAGAGCCTCCGGTCGGCAGCGGTTGCGATTTTCTTGACCCCTTCATGCTTGGCTTGCCCAAGCAGGTTGGCTTCTCTGGGACTGAGGAGGTAACAGGTGAGGACTCACCCTGATCCTTCTCTTCAGGCAAGGCAGCCTCTTCTGCAGAAGGGAGGAAACACAAAGACATGATGTTATCCATCCAGATGGGCTTTATTAGCTCAGACTCAACCAGACACCAATGCTGACCCATCTCTGGCCAAATGTGGCTTGTTCCTGCCTGCTCAGGTACCCCAAAGGGACACAGGTACTCAATGCTCACTGAGCAGCCTGGCCTGATGCCAGTGCCCATGGGCAGCTGACAGGTAATGCCCAGAGATGCTGCTTCAACTTCAGGGGCTCAGACTGCAGATCTCCTGCTCTAATTTGGGGAGAGCAGTAGGGAACTGTGCAAGGATTCCCTAAACTCCAGGTGTGGCAGTGGTCACAACCTACCAGCTTTTGCCTTGACGCTTGGCTTTCTCCCTCGCCCTTTGCCCTTTGACACAGGCTCCTCTGACCCCAGTGCAGTTCCTTCTTTTCCTTCTCCAGTGTCTTTGCTGGATTTACGGCTACGGCGCTTGGTGCTGGGCACCAAAAGGGCAGGGGAAGGCTCAGCACCTGCAACAGGTCAAAGTGATAGTCAAATACAGTCAAACAACACATAAAACAGAGATGTGACTCAGGGAACGTATCCCAACTGATTCTGCAATAGGGACTGGGCCTTCTTCCCTGTGGATTATATCCCACCCCAGCTCTGTGTGTCCGTAATTGATGGTGCAATCCTTGTGACTGAAAGTCTGTGAACTTGTCCCAAAATCTCAGAGGCAACTGGCCTGAAACTCCCCACATTTCATAGTGGGAAGTAGCTTGCAAAAAACTGAATGGCAAAACTCACACTGGATCTTGTAGTCAGGTGGGAGAAGCCGAATGTGAGACAGTGGGATGCGTCCCGTGTCCCCGTCATCAAACTCTACTGTGATGAGATCACCATCTTCCTCCAGATCCAGGGTTCCTGTAGGATGAGGGAGCAGAAAGTGGGATTAGGAACAAATGCTACAGTACAAACCCCTTGTAAGGCAAGTGGGGACAGGGGAAAAGACAGGGATCCTGCACTAGCTCCAAAGCATCCTTTCCAAAGCAGGGAGGGCACACTTTGCAATGGAAAGTCCCTGATAATACTAAACCAGCCCACCCAGTGTGAAATTCCCCAGTCAGCAGCACTCCTCCAGAACATAACAGCCATTCCAGTTCGACTCTCCACCTCCTTCCACTCTTCCCTTCTGTTCTTGCAGAAATTCACTTCCCTGTTTTCATTGCAGTATCTGTTTGGTTTTTTTTTACCTGCAATCTGTAACTACTCTCAGCAATCACAAACTGCTGCTATTTCACCTTCTCCAAGAGGATTAAGTTGTGTTCCCACGCTCTCTTCTTGCATCAGCATTACTGGTCTATAACTCACAAGTAATTCTTCCTTTACACACATGTAGTGTGACCAAGGGCCCAAAAGCAAGACCAGCCATGGCAGAATTGCCCAGAGCTTTCACGGCCTTTTTAATGGGACCGGACCGGGGAGTTGATACGTCAGCAGTGAAGCTGTGAGTGTCCAGGTGATGCAGAAACCTCCACAACCTCAGAAATCACTGGTACCTGGAGTCAATTCTGACTTTCTAAAATGTACTGAATTTCTCTGATATTTTTAAGCTCCTAAATTGCTCAGGCCTCTTCCTGAACCAACAGGATGTCACTAAATCAGCATCATGAATGAGTTGGGCGTGATCTGGAGGAGAAGAATGGGCCAGGCTCTGACCTCCAGGATGCTCACAGCAGAGCTCAGGGCTTCTCCAGAAAAGCCTGACATCCCTCAGGACACACAGGACCGAGACATCCCGGGTTCACCAGGTGGCCTTACCTCGGACAACTGTCCCTGGGTAGAGGCAGCGGTACTGCTGGCTCCAGTAGGCTGCAATCCTCGTGCCCTCGGGCAGGAACCGCACTGAAGGGGGTTTCACATCGATGATCTGCTCAGGACAAGAGGAAGGCAATTACTGACATTCCTTGCACCAGCACAGACCATCCCACCACACCTGGCATGGAGCAAAGTAGCTCTGGAGAAGGCAAGTGACAGTCTCCCTGCTGGGAAATGGCCTCCTGTCTGCTCACAGGGCAGGGTGAAGGACTATCCCTGCTGGAATACAGAAGTGGTGCCCACTGCCAGTGGCCATGGGGCAGCAAGCACACCAAGGGGAGCTCTGCCCACAGAGGCAGGAACAGGGCATCCCTGCAGCCCCAGCTGGGGAAGGGAACGAGGTGGTTTCCAGCTTGCCTCCTCCACCCCAAAACAGGGTTCAGGCACCAAGGTCAAGCACCCCTTGGCCTCACATACCGCTTCCTGTAAGAGCTGCTCCAGGCAGTAAATGTGGGGACGGTTTCCCCTCTCGCCTTCCACCACCACACGGTATCTGAAACACACAGGCCCAGTCAGACACGGCACATGGGAGACATCACCCCAACCAGTAACAGCTCCTTCAGAGCCCCACCACCAGTTTATGTCAGTGCATTTAACGAGACGTTAAAGGGATTTTCCTCAGCACTGATATACCAGAGTGAACTCTCCTTCTCTCCCTCCCTGCCAGACTCTGTCAGTCTCTGTGCAGTCAGCCCTACAGAACCCCCAAATGGATCCCTGCAGCAGCTATGTCCGGCAAATCCCAGGTGGATACAGCAGTCCCTCAACTCACATGTCTGGTGAATGTACCGTCTTGACATGCCCAGCATAGAGTAGCTTGTCATCCATGGGGATGAGGACACGCAGACCATCTTTCAGCTCATCCTTGTCAATGATGCAGGATCGAGGAGCTGTGAGGTGTTGGAGCAAGATGGGGATTAGCGAGCACCACATATGGAAAAGGGACATCGCCTGGAGAAGGAAACCTCACACTCACAGCATCCCCCTCCCCTAGGAAAAGGCCAGCAAGCAGAAAGCGCTCGCTCGCGCTCTCTCTCTTTCTCTCTGGCTAGCTCCTGGCAGAGGTAACAAAAATTAATAATAATAAATAATAAGTCCCCCCTCTTAGTAATAACAACATACCAAAGAGTGGGCTTCAACTACATGTCAGAGTGGGACACTCTGACAAGGCTTGTTTTTAACTGAAGTCACTGAAAAAGTGATATCTCCACCCCAAGGACTCATATCTTTGGATGAGGAACATGGGAAAGCAGCACAACAGTCCTCCTCTGAGCAGCCCTGAGAAAGTTGTCCAGCCCCTCTACCTGTACAATCAGCCCCCAGCCCCTCCTGCCCTCACCTGGTGTGGGTGGTCGCTCGACCAACATGCTCAGTGGGATGTTCTCATCCTCTGAGAAGCTGCTGTCTTGGTTGGGTTCAAAATCCTCCTCTGCTGCCATGCTCTCCATGAGCTTGCTGACAGCTCCTCCTTTCCCTCGGTTCTGCAGGAGAGCAAGCAAGCACATCAGCACATCAGCAGCACAGGCAACAGTCTGATCCCATCTCACCTTCCTCCAGTGACAAATAACCTGAGGGTATCGGGACAAACTTGTCTCCATCCTCAGCAATGTTAATCACACAGAGAGTTAAGTGGGTGAACCCAAGCTTTTTGCTGGGTTTGTCCCCGGGCACCACTGACAGTTGACCAAAAGCTATTCCCCACATGCTTATTCCTGGAAGGTAGGAGAGATGTTGTGGAGCAGAGAGTTGCAGCTTTGCCTGCATTCACCATCTCTGCACAGCGTTCCTGACCCCTCCGCCTTTGGTGAACAGGTACCAGGCACTGTTCCTATTTCCTCTCAAGTCTCTACGATGTTTCTTGTTGTTACATGCAGACCGTAACTGTTACGCTCAGAAATCCTGTGAGACGACCAGCAATGTGTGTTATGAGGGATGACAGGCTACAGCAGCAGAGCAGAAACCAGTTGTGACCCAGTGCTGAGCAAGGCAACTCCATCACCATCTCCTTGATCCTTGCTATCCATGAAAGCTCTCTGTGAAGGCTCTCCCTCCACCCTGTGGCAGCCTTAGAGAAAATCCTGCCTGCTCACTAATTTGGGGGATGAAGGCAAATGAACGCCAGATGGTAGCAACAGGTACTACCTGATAGTCTTCCTTGGATTTTAGGCTTCTCAAACCAGCCTTTTGCCTGTAACACACCCAGCAAAACCAGCACATCTGTATTTCCCTCCCTCACACTGCAACACTTCAGGAAAGAGCAGGGCTCTGCCAGCCACCCTCCAGCTCACCCACACTGGAACCAGTCCCTCACCTCTTTTTTCACTTCCTTGGCTTTCACCTTGGCTTTGCTCTTCTTGGTGGAGCCCAGGGCACTTGCCAGGCTGACACGAACATCAGATGGGGAGCTAGGGATGCCAGGAGGAGACATGGATGAGGAAGAGGAGCAGCAGGGTGTTTCTTTCCCCTTCTTCCGTTGCTAAAAATAAAAAGAAAACACTTCCATTAGTAAAGAGAGAATTGATAAAGATCTGGGACCAGGGAGACGAGAAAGGTGGAAGCAAAGTAGGCTGTGCATAGGTAGTATGATGTTCAGCCACATCATGATGATGTTCACTGACCACATCACATGTCCCAGCTCTGTTTTCTGGCTTCACACACTTTGGGAAGAGTTTTTCATTACCCTGGAGAGCGAATCCTGACCATCAAATCTTCCTCTGAAGAGCTCCAAGAAGATCCCAGTTGGCCTCATGTCACAACTAACTTGTCTAACTCTCCCCATCAGTACTGCTCCAAAACACTGCCACGAACTGAACTGAGCTTTCAGCTGAGATGAAAACCCAGTAACCCAGGGATCACTGCCACCCCCAGCCAGGGACAGCCCCCAGAAGTCACAAGTTAAAGGTGAACAGCCTTAAAGGCCAGCACAGGGGACACAGCTCAGCAAGTGAATAAGGTCATGCGGATAGTGGGAGGACTGTCCACTCTGGCCAACCCAAACAGGTTGGATTTGGGATAACGAGGCTGACACAAGTAACCAGCCCCATTCAGCCACAATAGGTTTTTACTCCCTGCAAGTCAGATCCAAGTCTGACAGATCCTCTAGGTGTATGTGGGGCTGGCAGGGGTGCCAAGGGGCAGCCAAACAACTGCTGAGACACGACTCAACCCTCCTCTGCCCTAGTAGAGTTAACTGCCCTCCCCACACCCTCACCCTCACCCAAGGGTCCCACACCAATTTTGACAGCACATTCCTCACCTTGCTTAGTTCCTTTCTCTCCTTCCCCTTGCTGCCCTCCTTTTTGGGGCTCATGGGTGCCCCCTTGCCACAGCGCCCAGTCTTGGAGACAGGGGTGGAGCTGGCAGGGGCCGCAGACGTCAGCAAGGCCGAGGACGTGGTGGCGTCGTGGAGGAAGATCCGCTCGCTCCGGCGCCGGTTCCACAGGTCATCATCGCTGGCCTCCAGCCCAAACTCAAAGCTCAAGTCCTTGGGGGATTTGAATTTCTTCAGCTTGCGGCCTTTCTCAGACCCAAGCTTGGCCTTGTCAGCGCTCCCAGATCCAGAGTCGAGGTTGCTGGGGGCCTGGCTTGGTGGGATGCTGCTTGAGTCCAGTGGCCCCTTCTTTCCCCGCAGCAGCCCCGAAGGTGACTTCTTCCTGATCTTGATCTCACTCTCTGAGTCAGTGTACTCAAATTCTGTCCCTAGGTGCAAAGGATTTAACCATCAGTCAAAGCCTTGGTTTAGCCAAGAGAGGACACATCCCACTGGAAGCGTTTGGGTTCCATGAGAGACACTGTGCCTGTTCAACAAAGCCCTTGCTTGTTCCCCTTTCCAATTCCCCACATCCCCTCAGATCTGCATTTCTGCCCCATAAAACACCGATTTCTCTGGAAGTAAAGTCTCCCTTGCTCCAAAGCAGAGCCCAACCATTCAGGCAGTGTGGTTCAGCATGTTGCCTCCTTCCATTTCTCCCTTGTCCCACAGCCAAAACCCTGCTGGAAAGCTCTTAGTAGAACAGATACTCTAACTTGTGCCCCTCCTCAAAAAGGAGCTGTTCCAGTGAAGCTGAGCACAAACCCCACAAGCTGAGCCTCCCACTCCTCCCAGTGGGAGTCCTCTCCAGTTTCACCTTTGTTTCAGGAGAACAATCTCTTTTAACAAATGGAATAAACCCATATTTCAAGCTTATTTTTTCCCATTGGCCAACAGACACCACAGATCTTTTTACTGGCTCAGGTAATCACCTTAAAGTCAAGAGAAGTAAATGATCTTTTGTCTGTGGCAAATGGAAATCCCCTCACATTGGTCTCTGCTCAGCCCCACAGGCACAGCAGTACCCAGGGGCCTCAAATATTGTAGTAATGTCAAGATGTTCCCCACCTTCTGTGTGTTCCCCTGAACCTGATAAAGGAAAGCAAGATCATGTTTCCAGGGGCAGAAGGGAAACTGAGGCAGCACCTACACACCCATGGGCAGGAGGTAAGCAAACAACATTCATGTGGGAAAATGAAAATGTACATGGCACATGCGAGGACAGCATCTTCTCTCAGTCCTTCTCTCTTAAACTCACTTTCCTGGGTAAATTCAGTCTGCAGGAACCTGCTCTCATCTTCTAAGCAAACCTCTTTCCCTGAGACAGCCCCAGCATGAACAGGAAAAGAGCCAGCCTGTCAAAACCAAAGCTGGTAAGGCTCAAAATAAAAAACCCACTGGAAATTAAAACACTCCTCCTCTCTCACTACCGCATGAGGTAATTTCTAGATGCTTCCAGTTTCAAGGAGGGTAGGTTACAAGACAATAAATTCTTAACAGAGGTTGTTGGAACAAGTTGGCAAAAGCCTAATATAGCATGGAAACAGTGCTAAAACAAGCCAGGCTCCCGAGGAGGACATAATTTTCCATTCTGAAGCATGCTATAAATTCCATTATCACTTAATAAATATTAATAGCGAATTTATAAATGGAACCCATATAGATTTGTCTGACCAAGAACAATGTCACCAATGGGCACTTGTGCAGCAGGGCATGGGGAGGGGAAATGAAACTCTCAACACATTGAAAGTGAGACAGAGACGGGACAGAAACCCAGGGTCTGGCATTGCAAACACACAAGCAGAGGAAGGAATGCTTGTTTCAAGTCTTGCTGGTTGGTTTCTATAAGGAAGCTGATGGGATGGACTGATTGAGAGTTTTCCTTCTGCTTGAGTGTCCTGCTTGAGTGTCTCTGCTTCTCATGGGTATCCAAAATCAGCTGCATTTAGCACATGCTTCCTTCCCTAAATGTAACAGCACTTCACTGCCTTCTGCACTTTGTGCAGGGGGATGCAGCATCCCACTGTTTGCCTTTGCCCCACGGCTGCTGAGGATTTTCCAGGTAGGAAAAGAAGAAACTGACAAAGCCACAGGAAACTGTCCCTAGGGAAGCCAGAGCTGCAGCTGCTAAACCTGGTTCCTGTTTTCCTGCCAAGCCGTTTTCCCCACCTTCAGCAGCAGGACCAAGTAGTCAAAGCAAAAAAAGGGCAACTCAGTGTCTGGGTAACAACCCACTCTCTTGCAGCACAGCTGGGGTCTCCCAAACCTTCCACCTTGCCCCCATGGCACCAACCCAAGCCACGCAACGCACCCATCAGGCTCTGCCGCTCCTCCTTCTTCTTCGCCTTCTGCTTGGCCTCCAGCTGGATGATGGAAAGCGGAGGGGGCACGATGGGGCTGGGCATGGCGCTGGCAGCAAACCTGGCCAGAAGGCCCAGGCCACTCTCATCGAGGGCAGGTGACGACAGCCTGTCTGTGCCATCCGTGCCATAGTCCTCTGCCTCCTCCTCTTCCTCCTCGTCGTCGTCCTCCTCCTCCTCCGAGCTCGAATCTGGCACGCAGAAAAGAGGGAGCCCGTTACAAATCAATCTCATGGAGTTGCGCTTCACCCACATTTCCAAACTGAACCACAACTCCCCTGCTGCTCTGCGCTCACCTAAGTAGCACTGAGCCACCCAGGACTGAGCCAGAAGACACTGGGCCATGGACACACACGTGTCCTTGCGGCCACAGAGCCGGTGTCACCTGCCTGCCACCACCCTGGAAGGACACAGCAATACAGGGTACGGCAAAGAGGACCCACTCAAGGCGAGGGAGGGAAGACCAGGGTGTTGGCAGATTTGAAAAGGATGCCACGCACCCCTTCCCTGCAGCTTTCAGGAGGAATTAAAAGCTTAATTCCTTTGAAAATCCCAACCTGAGAGCTGTGGGATTCCCCTCCCGCCCACCACCGCTTCCTCCATAATGAAATCCATTAAGGTAATCAGAATCAGAGATCAGCATGGAAGGGGAATACCAGAGAGCAGCCTGGGCCGTGGCAGGAAGCAAGGGGGACAGAGAGAGGAGAAGGGGCAGGAGGCAAAAATGCAAAGAGGAGGGGGAGAGAAATAATAACTTGAAAGCAATGGATTTGGAATGCATAAGGGAGGAAAGTGTAGGCAGTGTTGGAGACGAGGAGTAGTGTTTAAACACTCTGCCTCAAAACTCTCTGTGCCTTTCATTTCCCTTTCTACAGCTCAGTCTAGGGAAGCCCAGCTCAGCACAGGCAGGAAGAGCTGCCCACAGCCAAAATCTAATTCTGGTAAAGAAATCAGCCTCGCTGCCTCGGCTGACACTCACAGAGCAGTGGGCTGGGGGTTTCCTCTATGCTGTATATACAGCAGGTATTTTGGGGGTAGATGCTCCGAGAGTGGCACCTCTCCCTTCCTACAGCACTTCCCAAGAGTCTGTCAGCAGCTCAAAAGCAATTAATTTTAACAGCGTCTCATCCAGTTACTGCTGGTGAGCAAGTCACTACACAAATGCACTATACCACACACATACTTATACACACATATATGAGCACATATATCTATTTATATATATATACATATATATATATATGTTTAACAGTAAAAAGTGGGTCTGGAAAAGATATTTCATTTCTCTTGAAATTGAGGGCTTAAGTAGGATCATTGAGGCTGCTGGAAAATTTCCACCACTAGCAGGAGCCCTGCTCTGAGCCCACTCCCCAGCTCCTACCAGCCACTATCCCTGCCTCTAAAATCCAGCCAAATGAGAAACCAGATCCCTTCAAAATGAGCTGGAATGAACATGAAAATCCTTTTCTTTTCACATATGCCCTCTGGGATAGATAAAAACGTCCTCAACACTTGGTTGTTCAGAAAAAAAAAAAATACAATAACACAAGTGTTATTTTTCCATGATATTAGAAAGAACAGGAATACCAGAAAACAATGTTCTCATCCTTGTATTTTATCAACTGAGGTAATGGGCAGGTTTTTTTCTTGTTTTTTGTTTTTTTTAAACAAGGACAGCTTATCTCTGCAGCATACATCAGATAGCCACAGAATACTAATTTTTAACTGCATAAAAATCCCTTCCCCATTTCAGTTGCTCAGGCTGGTTCCTTGTGATATTAAAATGCTACTACACCTGCAGTAAATACCAAGAAATCCACAGCCCTGCTCACTCCTTGCATAAAAGCCACTGGTAAAAAAAAAAAAAATCTGCAGCAAATTGGGATCAGATTCCTTCTCCTACCAGAAAAGGGGGCACAATTGCTGTTTTCCTACCATATTTTGCCAAAAAGAGAAGGAATTCAGATGAATTTGGCTACTCTGAGATGTGGAAACCACCTGCCTGAGAAGCAGTAAAACCATGCTTGAGTTCAGTGACACACCATGGGGTAGTGAGAGCCTCTCCACACGTCCCATTTCGCTCTGAAATTCAGCAATTTTCAGCAAAAACGGGGAAAAAAATTGAAAAAATCAACCTGCACAGCCCCTAATGCCAGACCTAGACAGTTGGATGAGGATAGAGTGGCTCACTGAGCAGCTAGGGAGGAAAATAGGCAAAAAAGAGGGGGAAAGTTTGCAGGAAAATCCCTCCATGGCCAGTCCAGCCCCCTGGGCTCAGCCACGTCACCAGCAGCACCACTTCTTCAGCACTTAAAGGCTGCGTGTGCAAGGGCATAAGGGTGCCCAGCAGCTCCAGTACTTCAAATGCACTCAGGTAAAACAGATTTAAAAGCCAGGATGAAAGCAGCTCTTACTCACCCTACAGAAAATACACTACACAATAATCTCCCTGGTGGTTATTCCAACCTCCTTCACACACACGGCACCGCACTATGGAAAGGCAACTGAAGACAGTCCCTTGTCAGCATTTTTACCACAACACTTGTATTTTTATCCACAGGAGATACAATTTTAACCCCATTTTGACACATTCACAGCACAGATCCATCCTCCTCCACCTCTCACTGCGAGGACAGATCTTGCTAACCCCACTCCGCATGCACAACACAATCCCTGCTCCGCTTCTTTCTGGTTTTCCAAGGGACAAAAAGTAACAAATGAAACAAAAAGAAGACATTTGGGGCTCTGCTCCAAACCCACACGCTTCTAAACTAAGTCCCCAACTTCTGGTCATGGTGGCAAATAAGCTGCTGGTGCTCTCTGGCCATCTGCACAGCTCCTTGGAGAGCCTGTATTTAATAGAAAGCAGGAGTTTTACTCCTACTGTATTCAAACTATGTGTGGGTTTAAAATTAACTATGCACAGATGCCTTTACACAACCGAAGCCTCAATTCTATTTTTTTTTCCCTACTGAAAAGTTAGCAATGGGGAAAAAGACATTTAAAAAAAATAATTCTTTCCTTCAACAGTAATTCTGTTGACACTGAGCGAGGGCAAGAGAAAAAAATACTCAAAGTTAAAAATATCTGTTTTAACTGACATTTTTACGAACATGTATATGTGTGTATATACCCACACACGCAACCACACGTGTACATACAACTCCACAGCCAAAACAAACAATAAATTAATATTTAAATGCTACTGATGTCAGATAAAATGAAGCCAAAGATTTTTTTTTTAATTATTTTTACCTGTGTTAAATTAAAACCCTAATCCAGTTCAAAATACTAAGTTTTCTCATTGCTTTTAACAGCTAAGCTGCCGTGGCATGTTACTGAAGGAGAGCAGTAAATGCAGATATGTTAATGATGAACAGAAATTGGTTAAGCAATTTGGTATTTAGAGACTGATGTATGTAACAAGATGGCTTGAGGGGGGCGTGTGGAGAGGAAAGGTTGGGGAAGGGAAGGAGTAAAAACACACACTTAAAAGAGTCATTTCACATTGTAAAAATAAATAGCATGATTTTCTCAAAACACCAAGCAGGTCTACAGCATACAAAGCAGGCTAAGTACAGGCAGACTTTAGACAGCTACTGGGTCATTGACATTTGATTTCTGTGATCTGTCCAAATATTGAAGGTTACTTATTTTTGAATGTCCAATTTGAGACTGTACCTTTTTTTTTTTTCAAGTAAGCCAATTCTCATCATTGGAAGATTTTTCCCCCCCCCGTATGTGCTGTGCTGTTGACTCCAGAAGTGCTTATTAAAAAAAAAAAAATATTACAACTATCACATGGGAATGACTGTGTAGGGAACTGGTTATCCCTCACTGCTTTGTTTTTCATTGGGGTAAAATCATTGTCTAAGTTGGGGAAAGGAGAATAGGGAAGAAGTTACTAAATTCTTAATGAAAACAGAGTATGGAGAAGAAGGACATATGGGTCTTTGGTTTCAGAAAGCTCAAGGAATTACCTGTCCTGATAGTTTTCAAAGACCCATGTGGCTTTAGCCCCCATTAGCAGTTTCCTCTCCAAGGTCACTGGATTAAAAAGCACATGTTTTGCCTCTTATCAGAGCAGCAATGTGATGTTTGGTCTGTAAGAAAGCAGCGTGTCCCCACCTCCTCTATCTCAACCCAGATGAAATAAAACAAGTCTTCCTGCAGCTAATCCTACCTCTGACACAGATTCTGGCAGGGCCATGGCCAGGCAATATCCCTGAGAGTGGGACAGCCTGCACCACGGCTCAGAAACCCCTAAGGGCAGGAGCAGAGTCTTTGCATCTTGGACCTATCTGCAAATCCCTCCCTTGGTTGGGCTAAGGGGTTCTCAAAAAGAAGTTCTGCAAAGAGAAAAGCATTTCTGGAGTCCTCAATCACACGCACACAAGCAAACCTTCCATGCAAGACTCTTCCTGGACAGAGAAAAGTCAAAAGCAGACAGCAGTCATCTTCAAAGTTAAAATAATCAAGAGAATGCAAAGAGCTACGTGTCATTATTCATGGAGGCAACATCGAAACGTCTGAGGCTGACAGATGACATAAAGAAAAGTTATTTTGCCTACCTACATAACAATGGTCAAGGTTCAGGTTCATGGCTAGTGACCCTCGCTGAGAAGTGTCTGCCCTACAACCAGCCAACCACTTTGCTTCTTTAGTGCAGCGTGAGAGCAAATGCAAGAGACCGACACAGACATTCAAAGCATCATGGATAGGGGCAGGGGTGAAAGGGTTGGTCAAGCAGCTGCAAGGAGAAAGCGAGCACTTCTAGAAAAGCTGAGGTTATTAATCGGTTTAGTATTCAGGGAAAGCCATTAGAAACCCTATTACCCAAATATCCCTTCAAGAAATGCTTCTGACAAAGAACAACCAAAAAAAAAAAAAAGTCATTTGAAAAAAAAAAAGAAAAAAAAAACCACCCCGAATTGTAACCAACAATCCCTCCCCTGCCTCCCCCTCCATGCCCACCTCCCACCCCAGGGGGTTTTGCATCTTTGGTTTCCCCACCATTAAATGACACCCCAGAGGGATTTACAACGTATTTTCCCATTTGTTCCAGATTCCCCAACCTCCTCCCATATCCCCTCCCTTCCCTGGATTTCATCCCACAAAACTGGGATTTGTAATTTCTTTTTATTTTTTTTTAATAAAGCAGACAGGTTACTTGAAAAATAAACAAAGGGACAAGTTACCTCTCTGCTTACCTGGAGCAAAACCAAACGGCAAACCCAAAAAAACCCCAAGACCTTGGCACCTAAATTGGATTGATATCCTCAAAATTTCCAACAGCAGCAAAACAAACAAAGAAAAGATGCAGGAAGGAACAGGGAAGGGAAGAATGGAAGTTAACGCAGACTCTTCATGTAAATGTGGCAATCTCAGCCTTACATAAAGTCCTCTATCCTCACAACTTTTTAGGTTCTTTAAAGAAAAATTTTTCTTTTTTCTTTGAAATGCATTGGTGGGTCCAGCCCAAAACCACATCAAACCAAATCGATGTTCTGTATCTTTGTCATGTTTGATCTTTTTTTTTTTTTTTTTCTTTGAGTTTAAATTATCTTTATTTGGAGGTTGAGTTTGGAGGGAAGAAAAACCAAACAGGTGCAGGGAGGAAATTAGCATCAAAAAAACTCAGAAAAGAAAAAAAAAAAAGCAAACCAAAACAAAAGACAAACTATCCAGCCCCATTTTCAATTAACAGCCCTGAGCAGTGTGAAACACTAAAAGGCTTTTGCTGAGCTACATACAGCTCTGCCATGTAACTTAGATGATAACAACTGGGGATGCTCTTGCTTAGCATTCAGCCCAGCCAAGCTACTTTCTTTTGGGAGCTGAGGGCTCATTAAAATGACCTTTCCCCATGATTATTATTTAATGAGTGCGCTCTAAAACAGAAACCCCTTGTGTCTCTGGAGGAAAAGTCTCAAGTAATCTCTTTTCCCACTGAAGTACTAATGACAGGCTGACAAAAAAAAAAGCTGCAAGAAAAAAACTGGGGTGAGGGTGAGAGAGGGAAACTGCAGAGTCAAATTTAATGCAGTAATTGCCACATCCTTGAACACCGTGGGTATGTCTGGGCATCTGAAAAAAAAAATTTACCACCCAAAAAGAGACACAAAAATGCAACATATAGGTCTTAAAGTTTAGAAAAAAATTTCTGGTTGGTAAATACAACCCAGCACCCCTCTGCAGCAGCAAGGAGCAAGTGCCTCCATGTTTTATCTGTCTCCCTGAAGAGAGTCTATCAGAAAACAAACTGAAAAAGATAAAACCAAAAATGGGTGAACAAAATAAAAATTAAATTAAAAGCGTTGGGGGGGGAAGAGGAGGGGAAGCCTAGGCTTTATCTGGACAAAGGCAGCAGGGATATTTGAATAATAGAGAGTACCCCAGACTAGGTTAATTCCAGTTCTACTGATGGGGAGTGGGAGCAGGAGGGGGATGCAGAGCAGGATGGAGTGAAGCGGCAACCTAATCGCCTGATAGGAGACACAGCAAGAGAGACAAGGTACACAGGTTTAGTTAAAAATGAACTCGGTATGTTTAATAAAGCTTGGTATACCAAATTGCAGTACAAACATCAAGTCACACGGCCACACAACAGTATCCCGGTATTAAAAAAAAAAAAGGCAAAAAAATAAAGGGAGAAAAAGAAAGAAAAAAGGCGGGGAAAAAAAACAAAAGGGGAGGAAAAAAAAGGGGGCAAAAAAAAAGAAAAAGGGGGGAAAAGACAAGGGGGGATGAAAAAAGGGGGAAGGGAAAAGGAAAGTAATAAAAAAAAAACCCTTCAAACCTCAACAAGGTTCATGGCAAAATAAAATAATAATAATAAAAATAATAATAGTAATAATAATAATAATAATAATATAATGGTGGTGGTGGCAGCAAGGAAGGAAGTGAGGGTAAAACTGAAGGGAGGAAGGGAACAGGAAAGCAGGGAGAGGTGGACACTAAAACCCAGTCGATATAAAAGCTCTAAAAGAGCCAGCCAGTAAAAATATCACAATGATACAGGTACAAAAAGGATAAAAAATAACCGTGGGGTGATAAAGCAGGCTACGCTGCCAAGGACAAAGATGGCCTCCCTGGCTCCGACCATCAAAATGGCTGACCCTGGCCCACAGGCCCCTCACTGCCTCGCCCCCGCCCCGCTCCCACACGGCCACGGCAGAGGGTGCGTTTGGGGGTGTGTTTGCTATAAACTAGTAACCTTGATCGAACGAGTCCTCCGAGGAGTCGCTGAAGGAAGATCCCGCCTCGGCCTCCCGCAGCAGCAGGCAGAAGGGCTGCTTCCGCCCCGCCGCCGCCTTTGGCTTCAGCGGCCGCCCAGCCGTCGTGCTGCGCGGGGCCGCCTTGGGGCCACCGCCTGCCCGGCCGCCCTTCCTGGTCGTTGTGCTGTACAGACCGGGCGGCCGCGGCTTGGGCGCGGACGGGGGCTGTGCTGGCCACTCGTCCCTCAGGGATCCCTCCTCCTCCGAGTCCGTATCTGTGGTCAAAGCGGATGGGAAGAGCGTTACATCACAGAATAGGGGTTTGGGGTTTTCACGTGGGTTTGGGGGAGCTTTGGTGCATTTCTTTGTGAAGATGCTCTAAACGAGGAGGTGAAGGAGGCTACAGGAGGGGCTGCCATTGTCCACCTCTGCCCACTCCATCACAAGCCTCATGCTCAATAAGTGGGTGCTGAATAAACAAAGAAATTCACATTTCCTTCTTTGCATCAGAAATGGACACTCTCCATCTTGGTCAAATACCTCCTGTCCTCCCTTAAGACAAGATCCAAGGAGTGTTATTATCTCAGCAGAAGAAAACTGAGGCAGACACTTCTGCTATGAAGATGTCCACCAAAAGCACAGTAACGTCAACAACTGGACCATCAATGTGAATTAGTCTTCACCATGGTGATATTCAATGTTCTCGACCTAAATCTCCTTTTCTACATGAACCAGCTCTCTCCGAGGGTTTTCAACACAGGCAGCACATCTAACTCCAAATGTCTGACTTCAAACACACCACCACAGACACCAAAACGGAGCAGGGAGCAAGCCACTCCTCTGTCTGCGAACTGTGGCTTTACAAAGCTGCTAAGCCTTGTGGGAGGTGAAAAGTCACCAGCAGTCCTCTCTGGCATCTGATGAGTGGAACAGGAAACATATGGTCCCCCTGGACACAATAGAAGCGGGTATAAATTGTCACCTCCTCACTTGTGAACACACCACCGGCTTCACAACATTACAAACACCGTGGCAGGGACTGTTCCAGCCTGTGAGCAGCAGCAGATGCTCTCCAGTGTTAGCCCAGGTTGGGCATCACTCCGCAACTCCACTGCATTGGGTTGTAGAGAGGAAGAAACAGGGGATGGCAAGTTCAGGAGGCCCAAAGCCCAAATATGCAAATTATTTTGGACGTCTGACTTTTAAAATTCGTGGGAATACGATGCTCAGCTCTTCCTTTGGATCTATGCCCAAAGTTTTCAGGACTCCAGCTAGAAAATCAAGACGTTACGAGGCAGAAGGACTTGGCGCCAGTCCTGCTTCTCCTCCTCCACATGAGCAGCCCACCAGTCATGGGAGGTGCTGCCATATGCTCGATCTGCCTCCCCAAATTCACCATGCCTGAGTGACCAAATGACAGGCTGAAGGCCTTTCCTTGAACCTGCACACAGATGAAAAACCACACACCAAAGCTGAGCCATTTCCTCAGAGCTGAGACTTGTGTGGAAAAGAGGTCCACTGGATCACTCACTGGACAGTGGTTGAATAGAAGCTCTATTAGGTCTGGGTGGGAATTTTTGTTCATGAAACCACAGTACCAAGTGCAATGGCACTGTAAAAGCTCCCTCTGCCACAAGTCAAAGCTTTTAGCTTCAGCAACAGCCCATGCCTCCTCCTCCCATTAGCTCCAGAACTCCTAGTTTAGGAGCCATGTGTCTGTCCTTGGGGGTGAAGCACATTCAAGAACAGAACTGCTGGGTAGTGTGTACAGCACAATCAGCCAAAGGCTGTGTTCAAGTCCAGTGGACATAATGTCTCTTATTTTGCCATGTAAATGGCTAATTTCATGCCAAACATTTGTTCCATTGGACAATCACTAGTTCATCTTCCCCATTAGCGAAATTTCTAAACTGGTGTTGCACCGAGAGATGTATTTGTTATGCACACAAACACCCCATAAAAGTTCTAACACGGTTTTAAATAGCTGCAAGCAAAGGAAAAGATGCGTGTGCAAGTGAGCTGAGACCATTACACAACCGGGTCTCAGACCATAAACTCTGCCCCAATGTCTGTCTGAATTGTTAAAGACTCTCCTATCTTCGGTTCTACTGTTTTCCCGATACTACTGGCAATTTCGATTTTTCCTTCTGTAACAGGGGTTGCTTGCTGGAACCTTTACCTCAGGTGCACTTTGTGTTCAGAAATAGCAATCACCACACAGGATGTGGGGTGGGGACAATCACTGATGAGATAGATGGGAAGGCTGAGCACAGTCAGCCAGGAACCAAGGCACGACACTGAAGGGCAGGAGGATGCTCAAGAACATCATTGTCACTGGCAGGCTTTGCCCTTCCAATGGACTCCATGGCATAATCCTAAAGCCAACCCCACTGCACTCAACAAGGACTTCAAAAGCCAACTCTTAACCACCTCTGGAGCAGTGGCTCTGAGTGCTTGTCTGACAGGTAGAAGGAGAGTGTCTACTCCCACCAAAAGCAAGAATTTTTGTGGGTCCACTCAGGTTGAAGGGGGTCAACCTCTTTTTGGAAGCGTTTTTCCCCACTGATGATGAGAACAAAACAGGTCAGGAAGACACGCTGATATTGGCTGCCTCTTGCACAGCAAGGTGGGTGGACAACCCGTGCTGACCCTGAAGATGCGGCAGCATTGACTAGCCAGGGAAAAAGTCACTTTTCACTCATGAGCAGAAACAGACCCATCTCCAAGACCCTCTCCAAGAGGTCAGAAATCCCCACCACAACCCCCCACAACACATAGAAGAGATAAGAGAAGAGATAAATGAGGGGTTACTTACTATAGGAGTAGCTGCTAACTTCAGATATTGCTGGTGAATGGGAAACCTTGAGCTGATTTTTGACTTTTAACCCCACCTCCATCTTCTTCATTTTGGCAGTCACTTTGTTTTTACCTTCCTTGGTGGTTTTCAGTGACAGGCCCAGGTTCTTGGCCAGGCTCTTCTTCTCCTCCTTGCTTGGCAGAGCCTCGTGAGGTGGGAGGTACCTACTGCCACCTCCACTAGTTTTTGTCTTTCCCACAGAGCTGTCAGCAAACTTGAAGGGGGATTTGAGCTTGTCTTGTTTGGTGAGTGACAGGGCCTTGTCAAGCTTGCTGGCCAGCTGCTCCTGATCTGATGGCACCTTCTTCTTTTTGATCTTTAACTGCCAGGGTGAAAGGAAGAGATCAGGTGAATACAGAGTAGATATCATGGCAGACCTGAGGGATTTTACCAGCCCTCGTAACAGCCTCAAACAGTCTAGTTAATAAAGGCTCAAGATGATAGTCTTAGGTCCCAGTTGCCATAACCCACCATGGTGCTAGGGAGGAAGAAGAGGAAGATGTCAGCAAACAGTACAGCTTTCCTCTTACTGAGCACTACGAAATCGCAAGATTAACTTACAAAAACTGAATGTTCTTCCAAAAGAAACATGTTCATAGAACAAGACGTTTTGGAGTCCTTTTTTCTCAACACCTGTTTTTTAGGATATGTTTGGATTGGTTTTACAAGCTTTCCTCTGAATCATAAGGATTAAAAATCTTCTTTACCCAAAACCCCAGCCAAATAAATACGGATTTCCACATAATCAACCAGTTCCAGATGCTAGGATGCCAAAAAGACCCAAATATTTCTCAGCTAGAGTATCAGCATCGCTGCATTGCAGCCAGGGCTGTTACAACCTTTTCAGTATTTTCTTGCTTCTTGAAAAAAGTAAATACACTTTACATGTGCTACAGCTAGATAACAGCAGCTCTAACTCCGTACTTCGCCTGTGTGCATTTTGGATTTCATCAGCAGCTTAAAGCTCCAGTAAATATCTCATTGCCTCAACAGGAGCAGAAGAAAGCCCTGCATTTAAAATAGCAAGGCTGCGCTCCCTTTCCTCCCTCCCTCCCCTATCTTGACAGGCAAGGGGGTAAGACAAGCCCTGTTGTGGATTCAGAGCTGGTGCAGCACTGCAATGCTCTGGCTGGCTCGAAGGCACTTGACTCTGCCGCCTATCAAAGAGGTTCAACCTCTGACAGCCAGCGCCAGCCCCTCCACCGCACAGTCCTCTCATGAGGAGCATCTAAACCCATGTCAACTGAAAGCAGACACTGGAAGATCAGGAGGAGTTATCCTACAAGTCAACACTAGCAAAGCAGGAGCGAGATCGGCTTTTGGCCTGTGGCTCTATCTTCCCCACGAGGGCACTGACCTCATTTGAGAAGCTGGGAGCCGCATCATGCTCTTCCCAGCTCTGGTTCCTCCCTTTCATCTTGCCACTGCTGCTCTCCACATCCTCGTCCTCCTCTGGGAGGGCCCCTTTGTGCCTCTTCTTCATGCCCTCGCCAGTCTCAGAGTCTTCGGAGAGCAACAAGGACTTGCTCAGTCTGGAAGCCAAGCACAGGATGGGTCAAGGTGGGGGGCTTTCCTCCCTGTGAACCCCATCAAGCTCAAAAGTGAGGTTAAATGCCTCCTAGGACAATGGGGATCCTCAGCGGGAGCCAAGTCCACTGTGAAGTGACAGCAGTTTGGACAAGGTTTTCCACCAAACAGGAGAGCCAGGGAGCCCTTCTTGCACACTCTTGGCCACCAGCACAGATGAGAGTGCCTGAAATCAGAGACCTGCAAAGTGGTCTCTGAAAGGAAATACTTGGTGTCCTGGTAACAGCCACCAAAAAGTGCCTGATTTGCTACAGAGCAGCAACAGGAAGGACAGACAGCTGAGCTGGCCCTGAAGGTCTTTTCCCACTTTTACTTCCATGGCCTCTGTAGGTACAGAGAGAGACTCTTAGGGCCCAGGGAGGTGCCTCACTGCCCAGGCACTTGCTTCGGTTGCTTGGGTACTGCTCGGGTATGAGCAAGGAGGTGGCAAGGAACTGTCACGTGGGGTGACATGGAGGGACAAGGGCACTGCAGGGACTGGCTCACTCTGAGTGACTACAAGCCTGGACCCTTTGCAAGAGGCATTTGCGATCTGTGTCACTGGACTTGCTTTGGGATTTGGGGGAAAAGAAGAGGGTAAATAAATAAGAAAATAAAATAAAAAATAAAGTAGGTGAGACTGTAAGCACATCTTTTCCTACTCCCCAGCCATCTCCAGTAACTATAAGGTGGATGATCAGTCAGCACCTCAAGACCCCTACCAAGCCTCCATTAACAGCTCTCATATGCCACCTCCTTCACACTAAACCTGCTGGTTGTACCATCACCACAAAGCCACTGACACGGGACAGCCTCCTCAGCTTCCAAGCATTTTCCCTCCCCTCTGTCCTCTCTGCTGACCTCCACAGACAGCTAAACCAACACCTCAGGCCCTGGACGCTTGCTGAGGGTGCATCTCCATCTCCCACAACAGCCTGCTCAAGCACTCCTGTGATGTGGGGACATGCACACACCATACCATCACACACGCCCACATGCACAACTCCAGCCACCTCTGGATGCCTCCAGCCTGTCCAGTCACCCAAACACAAAGAACAAAACAGAGAGCCAAGGAGAGGACAGATTTTCAGAAGCGCTGGTCAGTGGGAGCTGGGCACCTGAATCTAATTTGTAGTCTTGAAAGGACATTTGCAAAAATATAGAGCACAAAGGAAGGCAGCTTGGAGGTGCCTTCCCACTGAAGAGACCTGGCCACCTATGGATGGTTAGATGGCCAGCAGTGGTGGGATCCAGGCATCCAAACAAGGGCAGCTGGACTTGCAAAAGACAAAAAAGAAAAGGAGAGTATCTTCCAGACTCTTGAAAGAGAGAGGTCAGGTGAAACCAACTCCCACTGATTCAGGGAACAGAGAGAAAGACAGAAGAAACACAGCACAAAGGTGCTACCAAGTAGATAACCTGGAATAGCCCTGCTCTTCCCGTTTTTGACATCAACATCCCTGCAATTAGTTCTACAGCACCTGCTTGCACCATCTGCTTTCCTGAGAACACACGAGGACACACTCCCTGACACCACGAGCTCACCTACAGGTCCCTGCCCAGCCAGCTGCTCCGTATCACCTCACCACTGCTCAACTGCCTGTCCTACTTGCACCCAACACCACAGACACGTGCTCTACCTGCGGGGAGGGAGGACGCTGGCACCGTATTCCCACCGCAAGGACACGCTCACGTTCAAGGCACACACTTCCACAACACCACTGCAGCCAGCGACCGGCCCTGGCGAGCCCCCGCTGCATCCGAGATCCTCTCCCCAAGTAAGACCCTGGTGCAGCGACCCTGCCATTTTCCCGTCTTCCCCAAATTCCAGCCTTACTTTCCACTCTTGCTGTCACTCTTCCCTCTCTCCTTAATGGGTGACAGAGCGCTTGATCCAAGTTTCCTCTTCCTGGGCCTTCCAGGGCCTCTTCTCGCCAAGCTTCTACTTTTCTCGTCATGCTTTTCCCTTTAAAAAAACCACACGCTTCACTGTTAACCAAGGCAACAAAAAAAAAAACAAAAAAAAAAAAAAAAAAAAAGGTAAAGGAAAAAAAAAAAGCAAAAGCAAACTTTGCAACCAAAAAGGAAAACGAATAGGGAAAAAAATAAAGAAAATAAATCCAAAAAGAAGAAAAAGGGAAAATAATTAAAAGAAAGCAAGCAAGAATGGGAGCCAACCCAGAACCTTCGCCTGCCACCAAACTGCTAAACTGAGCTGCTGAAGCCAAGGTTGTCTCTAACACAGTCTCCCAGCTGCATTCACCAGTTACCAGGTTGTCGTGTCACATAGCCTAGGAGTGTGCTGTGAAAAGCTCTGGCGGGATGTACCAGGAGGAGAGGAGAAGAGACAGGGAGGGATGGAGGGTTGTTTTCTCTCCCGGACCAAAAGGCAGTGGAAGTGCCCAGCTGGAAAAAAACAAGACCAAGTGAGCAGCCTGTGACTTACTCGGAGTCCCTGCGGCGCTGCAGCTTCACCAGCTCCCGCTGCTTCTCCTTGTAGCGCCGCTGCAGCTCCGCCAGCCTCATCCTGTAATCCAGCTCCATCGCATCCATGTTCTCGATGGCCGATTTGATGGAGTACATCTAGGGTGGGGAGGCAAGAGGGGGCGAGAGGGTCAGACACGTCCAGGTGGTGCCCACTGAGTGCCTTTGCAACGGCCAAGGCGTGCAGGCTGGCAGAAAGCCCTTGGTGCTGACAGGGCAGCAGAGACCCCTTGCCCACAAGCACGGCCCCACAGCGGTACCAAGGAAACCCGCCAAGCAAAGATGTTCTGTGGCTTATGCACAGGATGGCATCAGCTTTGAGGGACTGCAACCCTGGGAAAGAACCTGCAGGATAAAATACAGCCATGGAGTCTCTTTTCCCTTGTTTAAAAAGACAGATCACAATATATCCTATCTTGCAACGCTTACTTGCTGGGTATAAAATAATTTGTCGGTCTCTCTCATGGGGAAGAGTCAGCAAGGAAAAAATCAAGGAAAAACCCTCTTGACACTATATTTACGCCCCCCTGTTGCCAAAACAGTAACACATGAGTTCCTCTGGCTTAGTATTACAAACACCACTTCTAGGGCTGCCCAGGGTCCTGCTGAACCTTGATTCACACACAGGGCAGGAAGCTAAATCAGAGCACACCAACTCCTTGCAGTCAGGAACACGACGGAAGCGCCAGTTCGCTCTGCTGAATGCAGACAGGCAGCACGAGCCCCCCAAACTGGGGCTGCGACAGTGAGTTGTGGGAGTGGATGCACTGGGGCTTTTCAGGCTCAGCTACACTAAGAGCTACTTACTGGTTCATCTTTCTTCTGCATCCAGCTGTACTTTTTGTTGGGATTCAGCTCTCGAGGCAGCCGGATGGTTTTCAGACTTTCCATAAAGGGGGTGGAAAGTACTTCCATGAGCATGTGGGTGCTGGCAGCCAGCAAACTCTCCAGTGTTGGCCGGACAGGAAAACTCTCTGGACCTGCTGGGAAGGACAGAAAAAAGAAGTTATAGACATTCACATTCCAAGACCGCTTCTCCAACAGGCATGAGGAGAGGCTGATGGTCCTTTCTGGACTATGGTTGCTGAAGGAGCCTCCCAGCCACCCTTAGCCCCCACTCGAGACCTCCTGTTGTACCCAGCCATGGTGCAAGTGGCAGTTCCCATCATGTCTCACCTCAGGAAGCTACTGGAAGGTGAGAATCTCTTCAGGACCTGCCAAGCTCTTGGAAAGTGTCATCTGGAGCTACTGGGACCTCTTGTGCCAAACCCCAACAGACTGTAGACTCACTGCCTGCCAGAAGGGTGTTACCCTGGCAGCTCCCAGCAACTGGGGCTCCGTTTCCGCTACACATACCACAGACTGTCTAGACATGGCGAGGGCCTTTGGAAGGGGAGAGCAGTACAAAAGCCACACGTAGCTCAGCCTACTGCAACAAAAATCCTGCTCCAACGCCATCCAAAGTACCAGCCACTCCTGCAACTCAGGGCAATGCTCTCCTTGCTGCCTGGCTGAGGCTGCAAGAGATCCCACCTGTGCCTCAGCTCTCCTGCCCACACGGAGAGCACAGGGACCATACGCTGCAAGACCCACTCTGGCCCAAAGCTCACCAGACTCCACACTCACAACTTACTTTGCATTTCTTGCTTCCGTTTCTCCAGCTCCATCTCTGCAATTTCACTCAGTAAAGTGATCCCCTGCAGGAAGGAGTGCTCCAGGGTCTGGTCAGTTAACACCTCCACCTTCATCTGGGATGGAGTGACAGTGGTGGTAGTCAACAAGGAACAAGCCTGAGGCATTTCTGTAGCAGCCACCAAAGCATTCATCCCAGCCAGCGGGTCACCCGGCTTGATGTCCAGATCTGGGATTTGGCAAGAGATTGCCTCTTCTGTAAAGGAAGGGATCTCTGGCCCCTGCTCCCCCTCCTCAGGGGGCAGGCTGGGAAACTCCCTCCCCCGGGGCACATCGGCGCTCTGCAGATCCATGGCTACAGAGGCCTCCTCCCGCTGGGTCGTCAAGTCCATCTCCGGTGGCTCGTTCTCCGCATGCACGAGCAAACCATCGTAGTCCATGTGCATGGAACAGGTTTCTGCTCCACTCCTGGTCTCTGCCTCAGCCTCTGCTTCTGCAGGACAGGCCACAACCTGGTAAGGAGGTGAGCAGCTCTGGAGGTCTTCCTGGTCCTGCTCCATAGCATCCAGGGTTTCCCCTTGATGTAACAGGAGATTGCAATTTTCCACGTTCTGCACTGGGACGGCTGTGGAGGTGGTGATGTTCAGAGTCCCCATGTCCTGTTCACAGATGCCTTCTTGGCTTTCCTCCATCTGCACCTCTGATTTCACCCTCTCTTCCAAGGATTCCTCTTCTGCTGCTGCTTGGATGGGCTCTAGGATTTTGGACGGAGACAGGTGGATGGGCTTGACCTCTGAGGAAAGCTCCATGTGCTCAGACCCTTCAGCAGGCAGTGGGACGTCAGGAGCCAGGCCATCTGCATCAGATGCTGGGGCAGGCTGGATGAGGTAGGGATAATGTCTTCCAAAGGAGGGAGGCAGGGACTGGAATGGATATCCAGGGGGGATCTCTGCAAGATATCAGAAAGGACAGGCTGTGTAATGGACTGGTCTCCAAAGCACATTCTCTCTCACTAAGGCACAGAGATGGTTCCCTTTGCATTCGTCATCTCTGGTCTCTTCCTGTTCTCAAGCAGTAGATGCTTCCAGCACCTCTCCCCTGTTCAAGCTGCCAGAGGCAGCAGCAGCACCCCAGAAATCCCTTCTGCAACTTTCCAGCACTCTCCCGCAGCTGGAGAGAGATCTGCCTCTTGCATCCTCTCCCACTGGGACTGTAGCCCTGGAAGAACCAACCCAGGCTGGACACAAGGGAAGAAAAGAGCCTACAGCCCCAGGTGCCCCTCAGACCCAGGCATTGATCCCAGTCCCTCACACCACCCCTGCTCCTTGCTTCTCCCCTGCCTTTTAGAGGAGCTATGTGGTTTTCCCTAGGGGAAGGGACAGATGCAGGAAAGACTGAGGAGAAAAAGGGAGGCAGGCACAAACACAATGGGAGTCTGCCAAAGCAGGGCTCTCTTACCTGGGAACAAGGCCTGATATGGACCAGCAGCCTCTTTTTCCAGCTCCAAGTCTTTCTTGTCCACGGTCTCAGGTGCCTCTTCCTTTGGAGGGATGGCAGGGGCAGGGGGTGGAGAGGCGGGGGGTGGGCTGGAAGGATGGGAGCTGGGGGTGGCGGGGTAGGAGTAGGCTGGCTGCGAAGGTGGTTCCTCCATCTTTTGGATCACCTCAGCTTTGAGCACAGACACAGGTGAGGCCCTGGGAGAGAGGGGAGGTGGACTCACAGCCTTGCTGTAGGATGTGGAGGCGCTGGGAGACAGCACGGGTGGTTTTCGATGCACCAGTCCCGGGGCTGAGGAGGAAAGGCCTGATTTGGCACTGTCCAGGCTCCGCTTCGTCACCTTCTCTTCCATATCCACACGCTGCTCGTTGGCCTTCAATCTCTCCTGTGACAAGAACAGAGCAAATGTCAGCATGACACCTCCTCCTGTTCCTGGAAAGCAGTGCTGACCTACCACCACGTAAGACCAAAACGTGGTCTGATCAAATAGGCACTGGAATAAACACGTTACCTGATGCAACACCATTTTAAAAGCAATTTGATGGAGGGTGACACTGATCTGCAATAGCTTCTTTACAAATTCCCAGTTCCAGGAGTCCTGAGAAGGGTGTTTCAGCTTTCACTTGCATCCAAAGCAAATCATTTCTATTTCTAAGTCTCCAGCCTTGCAAGCCCATTTGTAAAGCCAAGGCTGAAAACCAGAGGAGCACTATAAAAATGAACTGGGTGTAAAATACCAAAGCTCATGACTTCCAAAACCATTTTGTGAATGGGAGCTGTCTCCAGGAGCCAGTGTGATTGCTACAAGTCCTGCAGCTGCTTCTCTGAGCTGCTCACAAGGTTTGTTTGGAGGTGACCAGGGATGAAACCACTCAACTATACAGAGACATCCCTAGGGAAGGAATCCATGTCACGCTGCTGCTGGGCAGCTCTCCTGACAGCACTGCTCAATGGCTCTACACCAAACCCATCCAAACCCCACTCTAACTGCAGGATACACCAAGTGCTTCATATCCCAGCGACCAGGGAAGGATCACTCCATGCATCCAGACCCTTGAGACACACTTGCCACACAGACACAGCTGCTTCTTCTCCCCAGACACTCCAACTTCAGGCTTGTTTCACACCCAAGCAAGAAGTTCTTGAAAACATACCACGAGCTGGGCACTCCTCTGCAGCTCCATGGCGTGGGCCGCTTGCTGCTGCAGGATGTACAGCTCGTGCTGCCGCAGCAGCTGCTGATGAGAGAGGAGCTGGAGCTGGTGAGCATGCTGGAGGGAGCTCCTGGTTGGGGGGTACATGGCAGGCCACAGTGGGGGTGCCCGGTCCATCAGCTCTGCTGTGGAATGAGCAGAGCTGCAGTCAGGGAGGCAGCAGTGTAAGGATACCTAGAGGATTCAGGATCACTCAGGGCAAGTATCTTTATCCCAGGGTGTGGGGGATGCCAAACACTGGGCTATGAGGAAATGCAGAGGGGAGAGGGTGCTGTCTTTCCCTTGCCAGCCCCACTCCCATCACCCCTGGGTCCTGGAGTCATCAGACTTGCTTTGCTCTCCAGGTACTCTTGTTTTGACTGTCCATGGCTGAGCCCATGAATAGATTCTCCTAACCAAGAACTTTACCTCTACAGGGTCCTGCAGGGCATGAAGAGCCACTGCCAAAGACCACACATTTCCATCTCTAAAACACACCTAATGAGAGGCCATCTCACACCCACCCTACAGCTGTGGCTGCTGGTCCCCATGGTTACATATGCTCCTCTCTAGCCCTCTCCAAAGCCCATTTTCCCCACAGCTGTCAAAGAATGGTCCTCAGGGACACGCTCACATCCTTACCAAAGTGTGGCAAGTGCTCGCTAGGGATCACAACAAGCTGCCCCGACTGCGGGTCTCTGGCAAACTGGTAGGCGGAAGGGAGAGCTCCCCCCATGGCAGGGGGGAAGCCTGGAGTCATGCCCTGGTGCAGGGAAGGGTGACCAAGTCCTGGAAGAAGAAACACCCAAGTCACAACTCAGACGATGCAGGCAGCTTCTATCCAGTCAAGAAGTCATCTACCATTTGACTGCTCCAAAATACCTCCTTGCCTGTGAACAGCGAGCAGCCTCGCCGGGCACATAGCAACACCTTTCCATGGATTTCATCCGTGTGAACACCCCATGCACACCACTCCCTCCCAGGGCACTCACCATAGGGATGGCCAGCCAGCCACATGGAGGGGCTCCCTGTCCTGGGGAGCCAGGGGTGGGCTGCCAAGTGCGAAGCCGGGTCTGCAGACCAGCGCCCGGAGCCCGCCAGGGCTGGGCCTCCCGTCACCATGAGGTTGGAGTTCAAACCGTTCGTGGCGCAGCTGGAAGGGTGGATCCGGGCAAAATCTGCCAGCTCCTTGCTTTCTCTGTTACATGGGAGGCAAGAGAGAGAGACGGTCTGAGTGATGGAGGAGCTCAAGGGTACAGACTCGTCTGCAGAACCAGTGTTTGCAAACCAGGGTCAGTCACTTGAGGAGAGCTGTGATGGAGGTGGTTAACATCATGTCCAGAATAAGACATCACATCTCCCCATTCCTTTGGAACAGGCATGGATTTGCAGAAGTCTGCTAGGATTCAGGATCTGCCTATAGTCCCATTTACCCCCCTCAACATTTCTTTCTGCACCAGCAAGGCTGATACCAGCACCTGCACCAGATGGAAGCAACCCCATCCCCTCTCTGGACAGGTTGTCCTCGAGCACAGCTCGTGGCTCTATGGCAAGAGACCCCATCTCCCACCAACCCTCACCTGAGCAGCTTCTCCTGATCCCGTTCCAAGCGCCCTGCCAGGAGGTGGCTGTCCCGGTGGCGGCTCCTCTCATCCCCACAGTCATCTTCGGAGCGTCCATGCCCTAAGAGACAACCCAGCACCATCAGACAGGACAAACAGTCTGGGGAAAGCTGTCCTCTTTGCTCTGGGCATGGAGAGGCAGTACATGGGAGCCAGCACACCCAAACATCATTCTCTCTCTCCTCAAGGTTGTTCCATGTTCAAATCTTGAAGGACCAGACAAGGCTCTCTGTGTGATCAATATATTTTCACTGAGGAAGCTCCTGGCAGCACACAGGTTTATGTGGTCCGAGGTTATGTCTTCAAGACATCACGGGACCCATTCGCCAGGCCAGGTTGGTCTCCCAGGACAGGACAGCCACCAGCCTGAGAGCAACAGGACCAAGGGGACCACTGTTGCTGAAAGACAGTGGCAGATTTCCCACCTCAGAAAGAGCCAAGATGCAGCTAAATCCCTACATCAAACCACCCAGTCCTGCTTAGCACATCTCATGGAGGGGAAAGGTTTATCTCTGCCCCTTCTGAAGCACCTTCTGCTCTTGTAAACCAGTCTGGGAGCACTGGGTATGCTCCGAATCCCTGTCCTACCGCAACAGGCAGAACCAACAACACAGACCCTCACAAAACCAGCGCGCTCCGCTCTGCAATTCAACCCGTTAGCAGAAATCCGCAACTCCCCCGAGACACGCAACAAGAAAGGGTCTGGCAAGGCAGGGACACATATGGCAGATGAGGGCAGGAATCCAAAAAGGGGGGGTTGGATGTTTGGCTGGAGTAGCCACTTGTCCAGAATCAGAACAGCTCTTGCAGATACAGCCTGGCACGGTAGCAGCTGCGTCTGTGAGGGGTTAAGAGGCACCTGCACACGAGTGAGCAGCACTGCCAAGCTTGGCTCTGCCAGAACCAGGTACTGGGGGCCATCCTTCCCTTCTTTATCCAAGGTCTTCACCCCACCACCTGATTTTAGGTTTACTTTTCCCCAGTTTTTTTCCCTAGCTTCTTTCTTGCATATTCATTTTTTCCACAATTCCCTGCTGCCCCTCTCCATATTATGCTTCGGTGACATGATCCATTCCTAAATCCCAGCCCTGTTTGCAGCGAGCACTCGGATAGCCTAACGGGGCCAGGAGGAAGGTGTTTGCTTCCCCCCAACTCCTGGTGCTCCCTGCCAGCACATCTCCTGCCCGGGCCGTGCTCTGCACCCCACAGGGCTCAGCAAAGCAGCACAGCCTCGCAGGACTGCACCCCAGCAGCCCCTTCCAGGGTCCTCATTCTCCTGTCTGGATATGGTTTGGCACATGGGAAAGCATCTCAGAACATCAAGTCTATTCTGCTGACAGGCAGTCTTTTCAAGGAGAGCTCCACTGTGTATTTCCACAAACCTGGACAGCCCATGGGTTTTTTGCTGTCAAGTCTCCAATTCCCTCAGCTTTTACTGTCAGAAGGAATCCAGGAACAAGACAACATCTCTCCCAACTCCTTTCCCCAAGGCTCCCTCCATGGGCTACAGGCAGAAAACAAAGATGCTTTAAAACCTGGCACACAGCTCTCCCTCCCGAAGGACTTTCCAGGGTCACCACATCTCCCTCGCAGTCTGCCAGGACACCACGTGCAGTGGCTGTCCCCAACCAGCCCCTCCTCAACTCACTGAACGATGCCCCACGCAGCCTCCATTGCTCACTTTTACTACCCAACCTCCAAGTCAAGAGGGCTCATAAATCCCTCCAGAGTCCAAACATCGTCCACTGCCTCTCCACCAGCATCCATACTCACTCAAAAAATCTCCTTCCCCACCCTAGCCCAGGTTCTTCCCCCTTAGAGCCCCTATTTCTTTTCCCTGATCAACGCCCAGTTGTCTCTTTGGTGTCAGCAATACGGAGCAAGCCCTTGGAGAGCTCACAGCCCTGCTGCAATGTGAATTGACACCCCCCTCCCAGACTTTCAACAGAAACACATTATTTTGTTATTTTACCATTGCTCCTCCCTCTCCCACCTACATTCCTCGCACTCCGTTATTTCTAGACGGGTTTATCATTTTTTTTTTCATCTCCCATCCAAACACACACACACACACACACACACACACACACACACACACTCTCTCTTATTCCTCTAATTCCCGCCCAGCCTCCATCCTGCCAACAGGACAGTCCCTTTTCTGGACAGACCGATGATTGTCCGGACAGTGAATGATCATTCTGTCTATATATATGAACATGACGCACGGACCGCATAGAGAAATTCAATCAGTTATGCATGGAGGAAAGGCTTAGGTCCGTTCCCTTGACAACCAATGCCCGGTACTAAATACTTGCATTTTACTTGCCAAATACTACAGATTAGCCAACTAAAGCCTGCTTTCTCCTTCTTAAAAGGTCTAAACATTCAAGCACCGTCCACTCAGCGCAAGCAAGCTAATGTTATTAGACGAATATCTCCTGGCACACAAAGGGGGGGCAGCATTTGGGGGGCGAGAGGAGGAGAAAAGCAGTCTTGTTTTCTGTCTGAAAGCCAACTGCATCACTTAGCAACGAGCCCAGAGGCCTGCCAGAATTCAACCCTTGTTTGCAGCCTTTTAGTTCAGCTCAGTAAATTACATTTAACGCAAGCTGGGAGCGTCTGGGACGATTGAACGGCTGAACAAACAGCTCCCTGTGCTGCCCACGAGGTCCTCGGTCGGCTCCCGCCTGGCCGTGGGGAGGGCATCGGGAGGCGATGGGAATGGGGAGAGGGGCTGTTGGCTGAGACAAACTGCTTCTCACCACTGAGGTTCAAGAGAGGGGGGCAAATCCATAGAAATGGGGAAAGCAGGGGCTGAAAATGGAAAGGCAACCATCGCTCGCCTGCCGCTCGCTTTGGCATCGCTCCTTGGCACACCAGAGCCCCGTGCCAGGCAGCCCCCAGGCGTTATCTCGCTACACAAGCCAAGCCAAGCACCAAAATCTTTCTGGTGCCATCCCCCTCCTGCCGGGACCATGGCTTAAATCAAAACCGTGAGATTAAAACACCAGCACAAAGGTGGTTTGAGGGGTTTTTCCGTCACTCCCTTTGCTAATGAAACAAACACATGGAGAGGTGGACAGTGAGGATGGAAGCCGGAACAGAGGACTGACTACACCTCGCACAGGGAGTCTTGCTTCCCACTGTGGTTTACAACATGCCCTTGGCTGTGAAGGGAGGCAAAGGGAGCTGAGGATGCCAAACTCAGCTCATGGCACACAGTCTGCACCGGGTGGTTGCTCTTCCCAGGGAACAGATCCCGCGGGGAAGCCCTAAGACACATGTAGGGAAGCTACCTTTGATGCTGCTGAGAGACAGCGAGCGATCCCGGTCTGCCAAGCTGGGCCCCAGTTTGCTGCTGCTGCTGCTGCTGTTGTCCTTCTGCCGGGCCACAGCCACGGCGATGCCGACAGGCAAGTGCCTCACCTCCACCTCGCCCTGGGAGCCGATGCTCTCACGGCCGAAGGATTTGGCACTCTCAGGTCTCTCAGGGTCCCGTTTTAGCTGCTTCGCTGGCTGCTGCAGCAGCAGCTGCTGCACCTTGGAGGCTCCCAGCTGCGCAGAGTCCAACTTCACGTTGCCCAAACCACCGAAGGGGCTCTTCTTGCCGCAGCTCTGCCGGGACGCGGTCTCCTTGGCAAAGCTGCCGCTGTACTTGATGAGGCTCTGCATGGCCGACCCTTCGCCGTGCGAGGTGGGGTGCAGGACGTCGGCAGCACCCCGTGAGCCCACCACTGAGGTCCGTGGCAAGCCACTGGGGTCAAGGTAGACCTTCTTGGCTTCCTCCTCCACCCGGGTGACGTGGTTGTGCTGAGCAGCCAACACTGCCATCTGCGTGGTGGCAAAGTTGCCCATCTCAAAGGGCTTCCACTTCTGCTCCGGTGGTTTCAGCTGACCGTGGTCCAGGTGCTGCCGGGAGGAGTCCAAAGTGCCATAGACCTTTGCTGCTTCTTTGGAGCTGGATCGCTGGAAGCGTTCCCGCTCGCAAGGGCGATGCTCTGCCTCCGGACTCGGCTTCAGCAAGTCCTTGGAGGCCAGGAACTCCCTGCTCTCCGGAGAGCCCAGCCCCGGTCGGTTGAGGAAGGGCTCTGAAGTGACCTGTCTCTTCAGTGCCATGGAGTTCGTCCTGATCACCGAGCCCTTCTCTCTCAGAACCTCCATTCTTTTGGCATCGCTGTGACAAGAAAAGTCCTGGGACAAAAGCGTGCGGGAGGCTTCCGCAAGGCACCGCTCCGTGGGCGACTGCAGCACCCCCACCTTGCCGAGGTCCTTGTCCTTCACCTTGTTGTCTCGGGCCTGCGAGGCGATTTGGATGGGCCCGCTCCTCTCGTCGTAGGCTTCGACCGAAGGCACGAAGGTGGGGGCGATGACTTTGTGCTCCCTCCCCAGCTCCTTGGCCGGCGGGAAGATGGTGTACATGCTGGAATGGACGGGCTGCGGAGGGAATGTTGTGGCCGGCGTCATCTTCCCCGTCTGCGACGGGTGCGGGGATGGGCAGCTACAGGAGACGTGCAAAGCGCCCACGGAGGGCAGGAGGGGCTCCCCTCGCTTCAGCCGCTCAGCGTGGGCGTGCGCAGAAGGCCTCATGTTCTCGTCGTGCCGAGCGGGATCCTTGGCACAGCGGTCCTGCTCAGCACCCAGGACCTTCAGAACGGGGTCCCCGCCACCATTGCAGTTGCTGAGGGAAGAGCTCTGCAGCGGGTTCTTGGACTTGGGTTCCCCACTGCCTGTGCCCCGATTTGGCATGTGCTCAGCCAAGAACGGCGAGAGACGCTCACCGACCTTCACCGGCTTCTCCACCACACTCACTTTCCGGTCGCTGTCGGGCTTGGTGTCCTGTGTGAGGTCAACCACACTGCGGGGCCGGGGCTCCTCCTTCGGCTTGCTCTCCTTCTTGGCAAAGGGTAGGGACAGGTCGCTCCGGCATGCCCGCTCCTTCCCACCAGGGTCTTTCAGGCCTTCTTTCGAGCTCTTGTGCAGCTGCCCAAGGTCCTTTTCCCGGAGCAAAGTGCTCGACGTGTGGGTGCCCACGGTCCTTGAGAGGGGAGGTTGAGGGTGCAGAGCAGACTGGCCTGCATGGCCGGACAGGTAGAACCCATCTGCAGAGCAAAAACAACCAAAATTGTTTTTTGAGACGGGCAAGAGGTAGCAAATGGGGAAGGAACAAGTTTCAAGGATGCCTCAGACAGGAAGGCCCAGGGCAGAGGAGACCAAGCAGGTTTCTCCATGTGGGATGCAGGACAGTCCTGTCTTAATGTACACTGGGACGTCAAGGTGGGATCCGGCCAGCTTCCCTACAGCACAGCTACATCCAAAACCCTGGTACTGCTAACACCAGGGAACAACCCTGGATGATCAGTCCAGGGGGTTCCTGCTCTTCACCCCCAACACCCCAGCACCCAGCAGATCCAGCAGCCAAACAAGCCCAAAGGACACCCAGGAGTGACCAGGAGGGCCAGAAAGGGCACACAG